GTGGCGGTGGGTGACAAGAGTGTTGAATACTCGAGGTACATACAAAATGGAGGACCTGAATGGGGATTGGCTGAATAAGAATGTATTGGAGAAGGCTGGCGGAACGAGGTACTGGGCATGTACACATTACTGAAAGATGAGACCATATGAACAGTTGAAGGAAAGGGTAGATCTCGAGACTAGTACAGAGAGATAATGGTAACAACTTTGTCCTGTTAGAAGCCTCCAAGAATGTGTTGATGGAAACATTATATATACAACATAACCCGATCAGGTCAGAAGCAGAAATTAACAAGATTAATAGTAACATTTGTCCTGTTGGCAACTGATCACCCGGGACAGGACAAAGGGGTTGCTGAGGTCTGGAGAATGTTATCTACTCAGACCAGGGCAAGTGGTCAAGGAAGGAAGAGTATAACTGGTGTTTTGTCAGAGTAAGAGGGAAGGAAGGAAGAGGAGCAGAACAGGAGGGAAGTGCCCAAACTCTAGTCTCTAGCAACTTGAGAATCGTCTGCCACAGCTACTAAAATTGGGTAGTATGTTTTAATTGTGTCTTGTCTATCTTTCTTTAATTATTGTATCAATAATCACCATACCTCTTTTGAGGATTGTTGGGTCATCATTTGAACTCTCGGGATCGGTATATCCCAACAAGAGGCAGGTGGATGAGGCTGCCTGGCGGATGTTGTGTATTTTAGATGAAAAGAAGTCCATGACCTCCTCGTACTTGGCATTGGATGTGAAGATTGAGGAGGCCTGAGGCGGGGCACGGCAGAGGTAGTGGGTGGTGGAAAAATGGATTTTAGGGTTGTGTTTAGCCTCCAAGATGATGTTGGAGTAGAAGGCTGTTTTTGCACGTGTCAAGGAACGGCGGTAGCTGTGGAGATGCTCGAGCCACAGTTGGCAGTAAACTGTCAGGGCAGTTTTCCACCATTTGAGCTCGAGCAGCCGGGTTTGGGTTTTTAGGCAGCGGAGCTGGTTGTTGTACCAGTGGGATCGGGTGGGTTTCGAGATGATCCTGGATTTCAGGAGGATGAAGGAGTTGAAGGCGGAGGAGAGGCTATTCAAATGTAATCTTGTTGTTGTTCTGTGCAGTGCTTTGAGATTTCTTAAAGGCATTATAGGATTTATATCACCTGAAGGATGACATCTCTGATGATGGAACACCCTCCCAGCACTGCGACAGTGTCAACTTAGACTATGTGTTTCCAAATCCCAATGTGGGGCTTGAACCCACAACCTGCTGAGCTCCAAGGCGATATGCTCGGAGCATCAGAATTGAGTGAACTCTGGGGTGGTCTTTGTAGTCTGGTTCCTGAGCCAGTCAGATTTGCAATTCTCCAGATCACTGCTGAGGACAGATCAGCAAAACAACATGAGCCAGGACGTTTTTGCATTCATCCCTCTTATTTCTTTCCTGTATCTGTAGAACATGACTCTTTACAATGAGAAGCAGCCCATGTGTCAGCTAGCTCAGTTAACAGTACTTTTTCCTCTGAGTCAAACGTTGTGGGTTCAAACTGATGGGTTTGCTATTTATTGCTACCCCAGAACTTTGTAGGACATTGCTGTACACAAATGGGCTGCCGCGTTTGCTTACAAATATAAGTCACTTCACTTTACAGTGAATTCCTGTGAAATACTTTGAGATGTCTCGATGACTTCTTAAGACTGTACGCAGTGTAAGGATTGGCATTGTTTAATCTGTTGTTTCTGTCTTCCACTAGATGGTGCTGTGTGATGCTTGAACCCAACACAACAATCAATGTTACACTAGATGGCACTTCACAGAGCAGAATCAGTTCAAGTGTGAAAGTGAAGTTCCTTCATACAGCAAAACTGCAGTCACATTCAGTATATCATGTTTGTTAATCAGATCCATTCAAAATGTCTTAAGCACACATTTAAATATGCAAAAGATCATGCAATATTGATGGTTGCATTTTGTTTTGAAAAATTGAAAGTCTAAGAGTAAATATTTTTTTTCCAAAGCTTCCTCTGTCAATTAATAGACAAGCAATCAAGGATTTCTCTGCTGGAGCCCTGACAATCTTGCTATTCCCAACAACAGTGCTCCTGTATCCTATGGGGGAAGATTATCACTTTAGTGCTGAATTAGAGACCGTTGTGGTACTCACTGGGAACTCAGCTGAGAATGCGCCCAATATTCTTCACATTGGACCCATGTAGCCAATAGATAGTAGAGACATTCATCCCATCAGCTTCTGCTGCATTTAAACCCAGATGTCCTGTGTGAAAGAGCAACACAGTCACTTACTTTCTCATCTGTTTCTTGTATTTTTTTGCATTACCTTTGTATTATCTGCGGCCTGGTTGTTGCTTATCACTCTGCTTCTTGCCTCCAGTTAGCATTAATAGACAGTTGATCCAATCCACTACCCAATTCACTGGATGATATCAGGACTGGCAGGTTACTGCTATAAGAATAAATTGGATAGGTTAGGCTTTTTTTTGCTGGAGAAGAGACGTTTAGGCGTCACCTAATAGACATGGTTTAAATAATAAAAGGGTTTGATAATGCAGGTACATCAATAGGCTGCTTCCACTGGTTGAGGATTCCGTAACCAGTGGATACAGATATGATAGTGATTAGGGGATCTTAAAGAAAATTTAGGAGGCTATACGTCACATAGGGTAGTGAGATTAGTGGAACTCATTGCCTGAAACATAGATGAATCAGAGAGTATAGATGCATTTAAGAGTCAGCTAGACCTTCACACGAGGGAGAGGGGAATAGAAGGGTATGGAAGGGAGTGGGTGAAGAGTCTTATAGAATATAAACACCAGCACAGATGAGTTGAGCTGAATGGCCTGTTTTGCTGTACAAGCAAAGTAAATCTATGTAAATAATATCATCTCATAAAAATGTCTGCAAACTACTAGTATATCAGTAACAAAATGTAAGAGTGCTTCCAGAGAACAGAAAACGCATGATTTTCCTTCCTAATCCAGAGAGTCAGCGAGGACAGATGTGTCCAACAAGTTCTCTTGAAGACAATGGTCACAGAATAACTTGATCCACCCATTGGTGACTCACTGAGAAGTGAATCAAATATGTTGGCATACAGTGATTTCATTCAGCATCAGTGTATAAAGTAATCCCTTTAATGGAGTGAGGATAATTAACTAATGCAGGTGAACCTTTCTCAGCAAGTAACCCATCAGAGAGACTAACTGACTAGTCACTGATAGGAGAGATTGATTAATTGTTTAATGTGTCACCCAAATACAGTATTCTCAAGAAAATTGCCAAGACTTGAATCTGATTCCGGAGTCGAAGAGAATTGTTATGAATGTGTCGAGGCAAAGCAGACCTCACTATTCTGTGAATAATTAGGATCCTTGCATTTGATTCAGAGCCATATCACATCATTGAGACATTTCAAAGCATTTCACAGAATATAATGTAAAATGAATTGGCTGTATGTTTTGTGGGTGAAATGTGTCAGCTACTTGTGCACAGCAGTGTCCCACAAACAGTCGTGGGTTGATTATTAGGGAAACCTGCACCCTCTGGATTATCACAAATATAATGCTTTTTATTTAACAATGTACAGCTCTGAGGGTCTGCAATTGCCAGTAAGTCAACTTTAGAATCATGTTGGAATATTTTTTATTTTTTGGCTTAATTTTGGTTTTGAAGTTCCCAGTCCAGATATAGTGCTACACTCCTGTGGACTGCTACATGTTCTCCAAACTCCTCATTCCTGGTCTTCCTTAAACAATGACTGGAATAAGTTGCCAGGAAAGGTGGTAGAGGGCAGATCACTGGACTCATTTAAGAGCAGCGTGGTACAGTGGGTGTTCTGGGCGATGAGGCCAAAGGGCTTTCTTCATCCAGACAAATCTTGTGATTTTTGTGAAATGTTGAAGAATTGGAGGTGGCTTCTGCTGAACAGATCTGTGCTGATTCTAAGATCATTGGATGTTTTAACCTTCTAACACAGAGGGAAAAATACTCACTTTCCAAGTTTAATACAAAATTTAGATTTATTTTTCAAACATTTCAAACATCATTGCAGAAAAATGATATATCCTTGTCTGTACATAAGAGCAATAACTTATTTCTCACTAAAAGACTGCAATTCACAGTTGGAGCCGAGTGTGTGAAGACTTGTGCTGCTGCGGTTGAGATAAACAGAAGCTATTCTATTATATTACAACATACAAAAAGTAACATAATCTGTAAAGCTTCATTTTACACAGGAACCTTATCAGCAAATAAGATTAATGGTTTGTTGACCTTATTTTGTAAGTGAAATGTGCTCTGAATTGATTCACAAACAATTAGTTTTGTAACTCGGGAGTTTGTTTCCTGTAGATTCTGTGAAAATCTGATAGGATTCAGTGATTGACTTTTCCTGAATAGCAGTGCTTAAAAATATAACATTGAATACAGAAAATACATATTTTCTCAGCACAGTATAAATAAATACATTGCACCAATAAATAGGTACTAGATACAATGTCCAAGCATCATAGGTACACATAGGTGCTGAAGCTCTGTGTGAGGTGTTTACAAGCTGAGTTAGCATGCACCACATTGGGCACAGCTTTCACCTGGCATCACATCACCCGGACACAAGGATTCCATTTGGGTAAGCAACTGTCCCACTTCATAAAGTCTCACAATCCCACAGAGATCAGATTGAAAAGGTTTACAGTGCAGCAGGTTTCCCGCCTTCTGCAGTACAAACGTTCTGAATGGGGAATATGACAGCCCCATAAACTGAGCCTCCAGTGCAAGTCTATTCCTGGAACTGAATCCCTCATCGGGGGGGTGGGGGGTGTTATTCTCCTCCCTGTGTGAATTTGAAAGTGTTCTTAGAAACAACAATTTGCATTTATTTAGCCAGAAATAACCAGAATACATTAGAATATACAGCACAGAAACAGGCCATTTGGCCCAAATGGTCTTTCCCAGTGAATGCAATTTTTAATTTTAAATGTTACTATATCCTTCATATTAAATTAAAATTCACTTTCAAAATGACATTAAGTTGATTTTTTTTTAAGCACACAGGGACAGATAACCAGAATTTAGCATACAGTGAAGAATGGCACTTAGCACATAGTGCATGACTGGGGAGAAATTCCATTTGGGTCTCAATTTGCCCAGATTTAGCATTTTAAACTATCCAGAATTTGGCAATTTGTTGAATTCAGTCTTAGCTTTGAAGTTGGTTTTCTGAGGTTCTAAAAGGAACTTGCAGAAAAACTGGTTTCAAAATTATGAATTAATTTGCTCTGAAATACTATATCGAGTAAATCTAGACCCAGGTGGAATTTCTCCCCTGATAAATCCTAAGATAAGTTTCAAAGTGCAACACCGCCATCGAGTGGCAAAAATACAAGACTACATCATAGACTTCCCACTGCACAACACTCTTTAGGAAGTATTAAACACCAAAGTATTCATGTGGCCTTCCTACCCTCCCTTTCCATGTGGATTGTTTTTGGTCCATCCATACTAACAATTGGACAGACAGACTGCAATGGTTTTCTCCAGTCTTGTACATTCCAATGCAACAAACAACCTTATTGAAATCTCTGCTGATCAGTGTTGTTCAATAAGTGAAGTCAAAATACTAGAGACAATATTGAAAGCTGGACACCCACAGTTATAAACATTCAGTGGAAATCACTTGTCAAAGCTGCTAGGGTTAATCGGACAGTTGGTCCTCGTTGTATTTCAGACATGCCTATTCTACTAAAGCATGTAGACTGAGCATCTCGCACACAGCACAAACAGCAGAATGGGGCAATGTTTGTTCAAGGCCTACAAGGTTAAATACTGGGAGAACCCCCGTTTGAACATGTTATTTATTTACAGACTTTAGCCTAACTTATAAAATGTGCTTTTTAAAATGTTATTCCACAAATACTCTCGGCACTGTTTTGATTAGATGACAGGAGACCGCCATGTCTCAGGGGTCCCTGTTAACACCAATCGTGTAATTAAATAAAGATCAGAATTTTTGACCCGTTTTGCATAAGATAACGCTTATTACACAGGAGCTCAGGTTTCAAACTGTGCCAAACAATGAGATTTCCTGAAGGAAAATAATAATAATCTTTGCATTTAATACATTGCTCCATCATTAAAATAATACATTTTTGTTACTAGCTTTGCTCAGTAAGGTGATGTCAGTATAAATCAGTTCCACATGGCTGGAAGGCAGTGGGTACAATTCCCATCAGCTTCAGTTAAGCAAAGTCTAGTGAATGTGCCTCAGTTTCTGGCTGCTGAGTGTCATGTTGGTGGAACATCTTACACAAGTTTAACAGGACCTTCGCCCTAGAAGCCGCACCAGGGACTCATCAGCCCAATCTGCCTTTCTGTCATAAAGGTAACTTAGCTTTGCTTTTTCACCTTCTGTGGTGAATTTTTACGAACAACTGTGTCCATGTTTTGGTGTGAGGTGCTCACTGATTCACTTTCCCACAGTTACATCTCTTGCAGTTATTCTCTTGCAGTACATTTCTCCATGACCAGCCAGACTGGAGGGGGAAGCTTCAGTTAGGTCCTTGGCTCCAATCTGTGGGAAAGCTGAAACAGCATCTGCTGGTTGTCGATAATGTGCAGGTACTGGATGTAAGTCTTCACATCCTGGTGCTCTTTATACGTTCCCTCTGTGCCTGGATCAGGAGGAGCAAATATTACCGAATTTGGCCACCATCAATGGCAGAGCCTTCCAGCACTACATGTTAACCTCTGGAACTCCTTGCCTCTACACCTCTGCCTCACCCCCTCTTTATCTAGCTTTAAATCCCATCTTAAGACATAGCAATTTGCAAAATAAAATCAAACCAATTAATTCAAAAATAGATCCCAATCGATCCAAACAAATTGGACTCGCCAACTGCCACCAATTGATAAAAAGAATGCTTTTCCAGTACTTATTTATTGTGGAATTTCCTAATATAGGGGTAGAAAATGAGCTGTGTGATGTAATAATTCTGTGTGATGTGAAGTGCTAATTATCACCCATGAAGGGAATAGAACAGTGTGAGAGAGGAGATTAGGACAGTGGAGGCTCATGTGGAGTATAAACAGTGACATGGACCACAAGAACATGGACCAAATGGCTTGTTATCACTGACCCCTTTGTGCCACCATCAATGGCAGAGCCTTCCAGCACTACATCCTAACCTCTGGAACTCCTTGCCTCTACACCTCTGCCTCACCCCTCACGCAGGATAGCAACTCAGAGTGTTTGACAGTGGCCTGACACCGAGCCAGAGATTGAATCTCTTGGCATCGGGTACATTTATACAGCAATCAGGTTAGGTATCTTCCTCAAGGTGGTCTCTGGAGTTGAGCCACAGTGCTTAGCGCAGGATTTACACCACTTTTCTCACATCAAGTTATTGCAAAAAACACAATCTAAATAAGGCATTTAACAGCAGAGGCATAAGATTTATGCTATATGCCAAAAGTGCAAAGAAGAGGCTAAAAGGATGTTTTTTTGCCCAGTGGAATTTTAGGATATTGGGGCAGAATTATATTAGCTTTCAAGAAGGAATTAGATAAATATCTGTATCTGAAAAAGAGAAATATTAGGGTGTGGGGAAAGGCAAGGAGAATGGCACTAAATGGATAATAATATCCTTGCATTTGAGATAGCTCCTTACCACTTCATTGAGACGTCTCAAAGCTCTTCACAGAATATACTGTAAAGTGAACTGACTGTATATTTTGTGGGCAAAATAGCTCTTTCAGAGAGCACAGACACAATGGCTTCATTGCGTGCTGCACATTTCTATGCTTCCTGGTTGTCAGCCCGCCAACATCGACACTGCCTGCTCATGCCAAAAAGGCAGGCTCGTCGACCCACACCAACCAACAGCTAAACAAACAGATTTTGGTCACTTACTGCTCTGGTTACTCCTGCAGTGTCTCAGCAATCTGACGGTGTCGGCAATCATGTGCTAGGAGCAGAAGGAGAGATTTTTACAACACAGTTAGAAACAGTGCAGTGAGCATCAGCTGTAACAATATCATTACTGTATTGTAGTTCACTGAATTTAGCATGAATTGAGTGTGACAGTGTGAATTATACAATAAGTCAGTTGTGTGTTTTCAACGCCTACGCTCCAAACTGTGGAACTCTTTCAATCCCTCCGCCTTGTTCCGCCCTCACCCATCTTCAAATCACACTTGCAGACCATGCCAATGGTCTCCACCCCTTTCTACCTGGCTCCCTGTTAAGCTCTCCAAGATGCTCCCTGTGTGAAGGGTACTATATAAAAACAAGTTGTTGTTCTGTGCTGTACATTTTTATTATTCTATGCACAAATAATGTCAAGTCAACATTGACAAAGGTGACAACATCGGAGACTTGATCTTGTCCTGACTAGAAGCCTGAAATTTATCATGATACTTTGCTAAAATGTATAACAATATCCAGACTGATAACCATTTAACAAAATATAAAATTATGGAATTCACAAACCAGTTTTTGAAAGTTGACAAGATTGTCCAAAAAAGTTTTGTTTCCTTCGTGGATAAACGTCACATCTGATAACAACAACAACAACAAGATTACATTTGTATAGCGCCTTTTGCGTTGAGAGGACGTCCCAATGCGCTGGACAGAGTATTGCATTTCCGACCCGAGCTGGGGTGGCGGGGGTAAAGGAGGGGAGGGGAAGTGGGGTGGCCGATGGCATGGTCAAAGAGGAGAGTTTAGAGGCGGGACTTGAGGAGGCTAAGGAGGGGGCGAGGCGGAGTGACTGGGGGATGGAATTCCAGAGGTTGGGGGCAGAGTGGCTGAAGGCTCTCCCGCCAATGGTGGGGTGGGTGGGTCGGGGGACGTGGAGCAGGTCGGAGCCGGCTGAGCGGAGGGAACGGGCGGGTTGGTAGGGGGTTAGGAGGTCGCAGAGGTAGAGTGGGGCAAGGCCATGGAGGACTTTGTAATTGAGGACCAAGATCTTGAACTGGATCCTCTGAAGGACAGGGAGCCAATGGAGTTGGGTGAGAATGGGGGAGATGGGGTCACAGAGTTTGGTGCGGGAGAGGACACAGGCTGCAGAGTTCTGGATTATCTGCAGCCTGTGGACGGGGGAGTTGGGAAGGCCGACAAGCAGGGCATTTGCATAGTCGAGCCTGGAGGTGATGAAGGCATGAACAAGAGTTTCAGTGACCTGAGGGGTGAGGTAGTGGCGGAATCGGGCGATGTTACGGAGGTGAGGGAAGGCAGAGCGTGTCATGGCTTGAATGTGGAGGAGAAAAGACAGTTGCGGGTCGAACAAGACATTTAGGTTCCTGACTGGCTGATGAGTTGGTGAGTTGAAGTGTGCAACCATGGAGGTTGATGCTGCCAAAGCCTGAGGTGCTGAGGCGCTGGCGGGAGCCAATCAGGAGGGCCTCAGTCTTGTTCACATTTAACTGTAGGAAATTTGCCCTCATCCAGGACTTGATGTCCGACAGACAGTCTGTCAGGACAGCAGTGGTCCTGGAGTTGAGGGTGGAGGCAGAAAGATAGAGTTGGGTGTCATTCGCATACATGTTAGAGGCAACAAAGTGGAGATGGTGAAAGAGATAGAAATCGAACCAGGCAAAGACAGATCCGTGAAGATTGAGTAAAGTGGAGAGGCGGTGTATGAGGATGGAGTGGTCGACAGTGTCGAAGGTGGCAGAGAGGTCGAGAAGGACAAGAAGGCAGAGGGAGCCCTGATCACAGATGTTCAGAATATCATTAGTGACTTTGACCAAGGCTGTTTCCGTGCTGTGGGAATGGAGAGAGTGAAAGGAGCGGAGCGGGGATGCAACGACTCGTTCCAGGAACTTGGAGAGGAATGGGAGGTTAGGGATCGGGCAGTAGCTGGAGAGGAGGGATGGATCTGGGGAAGGTTTTTTCAGGATGGGGATGATGATGAAAAGCACTATATCAAATGCAAGGATTATTATTATTATTATGACGGCCATTTTTAAGGGGGTGGAAACTGAACCGGTGGACAGGGAGAGGTTGATGACATCAGACAGGAGGGGGGGCCAGAAGGTGGAGCTGGGAGATGAGGAGAGAGGTGGGAATGGGATCAAGGGAGCAGGTGGTGGGTTTGACTTTGTGGACAGTCATGGTGAGGGAGGAGGGAGAGATAGGGTCAAAGGTTTATAGGGGTGGGATGGGTGGGGGGTGGGTCATGAGGGAGAGGTGATGTGGGGTGGCTGTGGACGGGGCTGAGGTGGCTGAACGTATCCCCTCGATTTTAGATTTGAGAAAGTCCAGCATCTCCTCACAGTTGGAGTTTGAGGAGAGGATGGGCGAGGCATGGGAAGGTGGACGGAGGAGACGGTTAGTGGTGGAAAAGAGAAGCCGGGGGTTGTCCTTTGGCTCCAAGATAACCTTGGAGTAGAAGGAGGATTTGGCGGAGGTAAAAGTGCAGTGGTAGGTCTTGGTGTGGTGAAGCCAAATCTGCCGATGGACCGTTAGTTTGGAATTGGTCCAGGTACGTTCGGCAGCTCGCACTTGTGCCTTGAGGGAATGGAGATGGTTGATGTACCAGGGGTTTTACGGGAGCATGAGGCAGTTCAGGAGGTGAGGGGGGCAAGGGAGTCCAGAATGAAGGAGAGGGAGTTGTGGAGAAAGGAGAGTGAGGAGGGGAGATCGGTCAGTGAGGGCCAGAGGAGGAGTTCAGATGACTCCAGGGCAGTGGAGAGGGAGAATTTTTTTTTCCATGGACAGTATGTATTGGTGAAGGGTTGGGAAGGGGGAAGGGGTACAGAGGTGTTGAGGGAGATGAAGTGGTAGTCCGAGATGGCTTTATCGACGATGGTGATGTCTGAGACGGTGAAGCCCTGGGTGATCACCAGGTCAAGGGGGTGGCCACGGAGGTGGGTGGTGGAGTGGATGAGGAGGGAGAGGTTGAGGGAAGAGAGGAGGGAGGAGATGTTGGCAGAGGTAGAGCAGTAGGGGGTGAAGTGGAGGTTGAAGTCTCCTAAGATAAGGAGGTGCTCAGAGCAGAGGGAGAGGGAAGATAGGAGGGTGGAGATATCCAAGAGGAAGGTGGCGGAAGGCTTGGGGGGACGGTAGACAAGGAGGATTTTGAAGGAAAACTTGGAGAGGTGGTAGATGGTAAAGTGTTCAAAGGCAAATTGGAGAAGAGACACGTTTAGTATTTAGATGAGGTAAATGTGGATAATAATAGTAATAATCCTTTCATTTGATACAATGCCTTTCAGGTCAGAAAAGTGTCTCAAAGCACTTTAAAGAATTCAATGTATAGTGACTGTTCTTTTGTAGGAAAACACAGGAACCGAACATTACACAGCAATGTTCCACAAACAGCCATGAAGTGAGTGACCAATTTTATTTGAGGGATTGTTGGCCAGAATACCGGGAAAAACTCCCTTCTCTTTTCAAATAGTGCCATGGGATCTTGATATTTCACTTGAATAGGAAAACAGGACCTTGGCTTAACGTCTCACCTGAAGGACGGCACCTCCAACAATGAAGCATGCCCCCAGCACTGCATTACAGTGTTCATTTAGATGATGTGAATTCAAGGTCCTCACATGGGGCTGAACTCACAACCTTCTGACTCAGAGGCATGAGTGCTACCAGCTGAATCAAACTGATATGTCTTTAATCTCAGCTTGTATCAATATCCCCTCTCTTCATCTCTCTGACGTATTCAAATTCCCTGGCCTCTCTCTCTCAAACTCTCCAAACTAGTGTGCAACCTTGGCATCTGGACAGATCCACAGCTTTCCTTTTTCCCCACACGCCACGTCCCTCACCAAGACCGCTTTCCTTCCCCTTCACCACATCGCCCGCCTCCTCTCCTATCTCACATCCAAGGCAGCTGAAACACTCATTCACAACTTCGTCACATCGAGTTCAAGCATTTTCCAACTCACTCCTCAATGATCTCTCTAACTCCACCATTCACAAACTGCAATTCATCCAAAACTCTGATGCATGCATCCTGGCCCATATCAAACTCTTCACGCCCATCATCCCAGTCCTTAACAGTCTCCACTGGCTCCCTGTCTCCAATCAGAATAAGGTGAAGGTCTTCTCTCTCTCACAAATCCATCCACTTCCTACTACCTACATATCTCTTTGACTTTCTCCTTTCCGACTCATCCACTTCGCTCAGCTAACTTGGGCTAACTTGGGTTTGCTGAGCATCCCCTACCCTCTCGATGCCACTGCAAGTGCCCAAGCCTTCAGTTCCTGTGCCCCCACTGTTCTTCTACCACTCCATCTCCGTCACTTTCTATCTTTACCAATTCAAATGCCGTCTCTCCAAACAAACCAATGGCCTTCTCCTCTCACCCTCCCCCTTTCTGTATAAAGCTCTGAGACATACCCTAAGTGAAGTTATCGTAATTTGTTGTTATAATCAAATAATCCAAGTTAATCATTGACACCACAATAAAAAAAAGTACCTCCTTCCTCCCCCAAACCCCCCCCAAGAAACCACCTGCCCAGGGTGTGAATACCTTTTAGTAGCAGAGGCATAAAGGGAATCTTTGGTGCTTGCATTTTCTTGAAGGCGTCTCTGTATGCTTTATGGTTCAGTGACGGGTCCTGTGAGGAGACAAGACTTAACATGTTTTAATGCAGAACAAAGCAAATGCCACAAAATACCGCAAATAAGCCTGGAAATTTACTTCATCTTTTTAAAAATAATTCAATGGAGGTGGGGGGCAGAAGAGTGAATGTTTGGGGTGTTTGTCGGAATTATATTATCTTCTACTTTTGCTATTATCATCTACATCGAACAACCCCCAATTTTGGTGCAGCTCTTGATAGGAAAGGGGAAAGCTCCCTCATCATGGATAATAATAATAATAATAATAATAATCCTTGCATTTGATATAGCGCTTTTCACGTCTTCTAGACGTCCCAAAGCGCTTCACAGAATATACTGTAAAGTGAATTGACTGTATATTTGTGGGCAAACGCGGCAGCTAATTGCGCACAGCAATGTCCCACAAACAATCGTGAATTGAAAATGACTAATTTATTATTGTTTTTGGTTTTGGAGGGATTATTATTAGGCGTGTGGAGTAAGGAAACTTGCCCAAGGTTTCGCCCTGACCTGCCTGGAATTGAACTCGGGTCTCTCACTTGCAAAGCGAGTGCTCTAACCACTGAGCTACAGGACTCCACGATGTCTTAAAACATGATGTAGTATCATCAATGATGTAAAACAGCATTTTCTGAAGGAAAAGCAAAAAGCACACAGGCATGGGATAAATCCAACCAGATCTTGGGTCTGAGCCCAAATCTCAGGTGTGATGGGTGCTGCATGGCATTGCCAGGAGGGAGAAAGCCCTGTGTCTGTTGTGGATGGTTTTGCAGGTGGCCACACAGCTGTTAAACCACTAGAGTGAGTTTTAGATGCTGCTGTCCTAAATACATCTTGACAACATATTGCTGTGATTTTATTACAACGATAAAATAATCATCCCTACATCTGATGCAGTGCTTTGTCACATCGTCTCAAAACGTTTCAGACAGCGAGTTTATTTTGAAGAATAGTGGCTTTTTTTTCACATAGGTAAAGGCATCAGCTAATCTGTGCCAGCAGTGACCCAGAGCACCAATAAGGTGTCTGACTAATCTTGTTTACTCGTAAATTTGAATGAGGGAGGAAGATTGGCCAGGATACTGGGAGAAACTCACTGCTCTTTTTGCAGTTGTTCCTATGGGAGGTTTAACCCACAGCAGAATAGGCAGACGGGACTTTGCGCAACTATGCAAAGTGTTCTCAAGTACACGGTGACACTTACTGTTAAATTTTCAAGTTCAGAGAAAAGCCTTTTAAATTTCCCAGGCACTTTCTATAGAGGAAAAAAAGAATAATACAAATGAGTTTACTAGAAACATAAACGTGAAAGTCAGTGCATTTGATATCAGTCTGTAAATAATATTTATATAACTCGCAGATATTTGCCTGTACCTGTGAGGCAGATTATAATATGAAGTACAGCATTCTGCCTCTCTCATATAATCGCTTCCTTCTATTCATTATTTCCCATGTGGACAGAGGAGTGATATGCTATCTATTAGGAAAACCAGAGGCCTGAAATTCCACCTTGTCTTAGCCTCTAAGCCATTTTGTTTTAAGATTTAAGAATACACAGCTTTGTGAGATACTCTTAAATACAGTCAATTAACTAGGAAGCCAGTTCTATTGAAGACCTAAGCAAAAAAATGCGCCCAAATTAAGATTGGATGTAAGAATGTTTCACCTGCAAAATACCATCACTACACTTTAAACAAACCTGTCTGACAAGTTGAGATTGGGTGGCATTTTGGGGCTCTGAAGGTTTCCCTTTCTCATTCTTTGCTATACAGGTTAGCAGGTTAGTGAGTTGTCCTTTATAACAACAGAGATATAAGCATTTACACAGTAAATGTGTAAATGCTTAGATCAGAAAGTGCAAATTATCTCCCTGTACCGCGACACCTCTGATATCACTTCCTTCTTCACCATGACACAACTGAATGCTGCTGGATAGTTACCCCAACACCAGGACTTAACGAAAGTCTCTTTATTTAAAGACATGTTGCAAATAATAATGCGGGGGTAAGGGCATTTCAACATTAGATATTAGCATCAGTGACAATAATAATACTTGCATTTGATATAGTGCCTTATTACGTTATTGAGATGTCTCAAAGCACTCTTCAGAATAAACTGTTAGGTTAAACTAACCCTAACAGCATGGTCAACAGTAGTCGATAGTTGTTACTGCGATCAGGGAAGAAACAACAATAACAAATTTACATAATACCTTTCATGTTGGGAGGAAGTCGCAAGGTGCTGGGTTTACATCTCTGATCCTGAGGTTAGTGGGAACTATTGGCTGTTGTTTATCATACTTTTGCTTGCTGTGTTAATATCACTTGTGATACTGTCATGTGCTGCAGTCCCCCTCCCTCCACCCTCCCACTCATAATAGGCTTGGAGGAGGGGAGAAGGTTGATTTATAAGCAGAAAACACAAACTCCCTCAATGATTGAGAGTTTGTGCACCCAGCACTGTTCATGACCTGCACAGAACAATGCAGCTTGTGTCAATCAATCAAACTGTCCACTACCATAAATATGTTTGCTCTTTTCTTACACAGGGGGTCACTTATTCCCTCTCGCCAGCAGTGTAACACCTGACTAAACTCTCTCCTTACCTCCCATGTTTGTCCCAGTCGGCAGACAGCAGCGCTGTTCAGACCCATGATAATGGCGAAGAAGGAGTTAAGGTTCCGCAATGCCCTGCAGCTGGAGAGGGGAGCAGAAGATGAACCGAGGTTAGACTGTTGGTTTGCTGTAGAATAAAACATCTGATTTTGTACATGAAGAGCCACTGTGATCCTGTAAACTGACTGTCCAATGCATATCCAACAGCAGCTTCATTGTACATTTTCTCATTTTATTGCCAGCTTTGCAATTCACAAATGTAAGAATTTAACGAAAGCCTTACTGTTTTTAACATAATTTTAACACAAACTCAAAGTCAGAGATGAAACACAAGAGCTGCTGTCATCTTGTCATGTATATTTAACAAATATTTACTATTTGGATTTATGGCGATAAACTGCAGGATGCAGGTAAGCCTTTGACTCAAAGCACTGTGTAACAATACAAGACAGCAGAAGCCTTGGGATCGTATTTTTTGGGGTCAGTCAGGTGTCTGACACATGCAGATACCCATCACCATGCTAAGAGTATCCAAACCAGAGTGAAAGTTCCATGAATGCTACCTACACATGGAAATTTCCATGTCTGGAATGGAATGCGCACTTTCCCCCTTGAGACTGCTTACCTAATTCAGAGAGTATTAAGCACATGTTGGCAAGAGCCAAGGCTTGGGGGGCCCTAGAGTGTGTGTTGATTAATTCAATGGGTGGTAATTCACAGCAGTGAAATGTAAAACAATAATATATATCTGAGCAATGAATTATCACTTGAGAGTTGTCACATATTAAATAAATATTTGAAAGGCTGCCTTCTCAGGGCTAATTTTCTTCCACAGAATAAAAACAGAATTTATCCCTCATGACTTCAAGCTCCAAATGTGAAAGAGAAATTCATAACTCACTCAGAATATCCCTCTAAGGATTAGCAAACAAGGACTGTAATAAAGAGTCTCACCATTCGTAAAATTCTCAATCAAAGCATTGGAATGAATTACTTTCAGCATGCTTTGCTTTTCAATTTTGCTTCTGTCTATTTCTGTTCTTTTTATTTGATCAGCCGGGTATCCAACACATGCGGAAACCAAACCAAACAGAGTTCTTGCCTACACATAGAAATCCCAGAGATAGATTGTTGGAATGTGCACGCTCTCCCTGGAGGGACACTTCCTGCTTACCTAATTCTGGAAAGTATTAGCTGCAGGTTGTCAAGAGCCAAAGCTTGGGGACCCCAGAGTGCATGTTGGGGTATTGCTGGAGTCTAACCAATTAAAGCCACATATCTTGCCATGAAGAGCAGTGACTGGTCTGCCCTTCCAAGTTCTACCGATGAGCCAGGTTGTCACCAGCAATGCCCTGGAGCACACCTGAATAATTTCGGTTCAGGTGTGAATATTTTTGTTTAAGCATCGATGCCCGAAATTCCACCTTAGTCTTGGCTGATAAGAACCACTTTGTCTTAAAATTTAGGATGGCGAGGAATTGTGGAAACATTCTTAAATTAAGGCTTAATTTGGAAGCCAATTCACTTCAGTTCTTAAAAAGAAACATCTTGTTAAATATTGAGACAGGCCTTTTAAGAGGCAGATTCCAGCAAGTGAAAACACGAGCAGCTAGTACTAATTAAGCCTAATCCATAAAGCCTAACCTGGAACCATTTAACCGGTGCGTATCTTGACAGCATATAGGTTAATCAGTTCTCTCACATCATTCTTCTGAGACAGTCCTGTATGCTCGCCCCCCACAGTTAGGATTTTGCCCGCATTCAAATGTTTAGATGAAAATACTTTTTATTAAAATTATTAGAAACAAAAATAAGAATGTCAAAAGTTAATCACAAATTGTTTTGACTGCTTATTAAAAGGCATCTGAATGAGAAGACACCAGATTGAGTTAAGTCGGTGTCCAATTAAATTGGTATTTAGTTAAACTGGTTAAGGCAATTTCCAGTTAAGTCAGTATCGAGTTAAACAGTATCTAGTTCAGTCAGTTTCTAGTTAAGCTGGCATCCTGTGAAGAGTCATTGAAAGAATCATTGATGGGAAGCATTTCAGGACTGAAATCTCTGGGTGGAGCTTCAAGGGGTATTTGGTGAGAACATGTTTTGAATTCAGAACCTAAAAATACATAACTTCACACTGGGGTCTAAAAAAACAGCTATTTTAAATCAAATTCCCAACTCTGGGAATCTGGAAGTACAACATGCCAACTCGCAGGAACCAATGTACTTTCAGATGGAACTCCCATGAGTCAGCGTGACGTTCTTCCGTTAGCGGAAAGAATTCCCACTTGCCACATGTGAATGCAGAATCAGGAAATGTTCTCCCCACGTTCATTTTTAGAACAATTTTTTAAAAAAAACAATCTTGATGTTCAAGTCTTGAACCCAGTATCTTCTTTTCTTTTCTAAAATAATAAGAATTCCTTCATTATTGCATTGTTGGAACGTCTCAAAACACTTTGTAGAATTTACTGCGAAGTGTAGTCATTTTGCAGTAGCTGTTTCATAGTTGAATCTACGCCACAGCAATGTCCCAAAACTATGAAATGAATCTGAGGATTGTTGGCTAGATTCCAGGAGAAATTCCCTTCACTTTCAAAATAGTGTCATGATTCTTTAACATCCACGGTTAGAGCACTCGCTTTGCAAGCGAGAGACCTGAGTTCAATTCCAGGCAGGGCGAAACCTTGGGCAGGTTTCCTTACTCCACACGCCTAATAATAATCCCTCCAAAAAAAATAAATAAATAATAAATTGGTCATCTTCAATCCATGACTGTTTGTGGGACATTGCTGTGCGCAATTGACTGCCACGTTCGCCCACAAATATACAGTCAATTCACTTTACAGTGTGTTCTGTGAAGCGCTTTGGGACGTCCTCCCGACGTGAAAAGCGCTATATCAAATGCAAGGATTATTATTATTATTATTAACAGGGACCTTGCTTTAATGTTTTAGGGAAACTCCCTGGACTGTGGCTCAAAGTTCCAACTGAACCGCCAAGTCTCTGACTCAGCAGCAAGAGCCCTACCACCGAGCCAGGCTGACACTTTTTAATAAATCCTATAATAATAATAAAAAAATCCTTGCATGATATAGCACCTTTTCCCACCGGGGGAAGCTCAAAGCACTTCACAGGATTTCACTCCCAACAATGCAGCGCACCCCCAGCAATGAACTGTCAGCCTAGTCTGTGAGCTTAAATTCTCAACTTGGGCCTTTAACCCATAACTTTCTGACTCAGGGATGAGTCCAATCAACTGAGCATTGCATATTAACATTCCTGTATGTTATGTGTGTGTAATCACCGCTAAAGCCACTTACTGTGCAGCGATCTTTATGAACTTTTTGACCAGCTGAACTCTTTTGGACAGCTGGCTGCACAGGAGGATTTCAGTTGCGACCCAGAACTGGACTTCATTACATCGCTGCAGCAGCAGGTTCAGATTGACTGTACTCCTCCCACTGTCCTGTCTGCGGAAAATGTAGCAAATCAGCTCCTGCTGCAAATGGAGACAGAAAACAATGGAAGTCAGCACACACCTAGGCTTGTCTCTGAAACACAAATCCCCCTTACTTTAAGCAAAGCCTATAAGTTAGCAAAACCTGCCCCAAACACGAATGAGAAAAGTCCAGGTTTTCCTGTTCTCATACAAACCGCACTTACATAGAACTCTACAGCATGGAAACTGATTATTTGGCCCAACTAGTGTGTACCAGTGTTTATACTCCACAAGTTCTCCATCACCTGTAGAAAATTGTTTGTGCTAATTCATCTTGTAATATAATAATCCTTGCATTTGATATCACCCCTTATCATGTCTTTGAGATGCCTCAAAGCATTTCTTAGAATATACTGTAAAGTGAATTGACTATATTTTGAGGGCAAAATGCAGCATCCAATTGTGCACAGCAGTGTCTCACAAACAGTCGTGGATTGAGTGACCAAATTATTAGTTTTTTTTGAGGGATCATTACCCCCGGAAAAGCGATCCACCAATCAACTAACAACCAGGTTCCTTCTTACTGCTAGGTAAATAGAGCAGCGTAGAGCAAGGAAACTTGCCCAACATTTCATCTTGCCCGAGAATCGAACCCAGGTCTCTCGCTTACAAGGCGAGTGCTCTAACCACTAAGCTACAGATATGTTATTCTTGCACAAACATCCTGTTAACTGCAAACTCCAGGATGTTTGTGCAATAATAATCAGGATAAACCACAAAAATGTTACACCTCACTGCTCCTCCTTACTTAGGTGTGAGAATTTTTAATGTCTGAACCAGCCTGTGCTAACCCCACTCAGAGAAGTTACATGAGAGCCTAGTTTTCCATTTTTCCTGGGGGGACAGCCTTCGTCTTCCCCCATTACCACAGCCTCCTCTCCCATCACCCCCTCCCCCATCACCCCACCCCATAACCCCCCTCCCCAACAACCCCCTCACCATCACCCAGTCCCCCATCACCCCCTCTGCCAAACCGCCTCACCAACACCCCCTCCCTGATCATTCCCTCCCCCAGTGGCTTTTGTGAGACAGGACCTGAGGCCGTGTCAGGAAAGCCTGACCTGCCATCCCACTGTTAATTTCTCAATGCCATTGACTGTCATTCTTAACCAGTGCATGTGAGATGTTATTAATTACTGTCAAATGTAATGATTATTTTCTAGATTTTGCGCCCAGTAAATTCCCACAGACAGCCACAAGGCGAATGGGCAATTAATCAGAGAGTTGTTGGTCAGGAAACGCCCTTCTCTGGTGAGAAATGCTTTTGTGAGGTTGTGCTTACAGCCAGCCCTGGAGCAGAGAAGCAGAGGAAGCTTTACTCTTAACGTTTGAGATGGACACTGGGTGACAAAACAAAAAACTTGTGTTCTATTCCTGGCTCTGATGTCCTCCATTTCAATTTGTACAAAATGTACCCAAAATATGTAAGTGAAGTGTTCCGCGTGACGTCTAGAGAGATGTCATTACCACATGTCCTAATAAAGAAAGACGGAGTTTGCGGCATAATCAATCCAGGCTGCAGAATAACCAAGCTTTGTGCAGAGGTCATAAAATTGAAGATCCCATGTTTTAAAGCTCTTTGAATCCAGCTCTTTGAAAATCACAGAGGACTGAAAATTCCACAGTTATCCATCCCACTGCACACAAATTCATTAACTGTGTCTGTAGCCAGAGATTCTGTTCTCACAGACACAAACCTTTCCCATAATGCGCCTTCAAGAATAACAAAAACATTGGCTGTTTATGTAACAGCAACATTTCATTTAAGACCTTGTTTCACACATGGGGTTTGGTTAGGACACTCCCAAATCCACTTCCTGAGGGATCCAGTGTGGTGCAGCAGTGTTTATTCACTAAACAAACTCGTCTCATTTATTGCTTCTGAAAGTTTGCACAGGGCAGCGTGACACTGTGGCTATACAATGTGAGACTGCCTTGGACCTCTGTAGAGCAGCATTTTCACTAGCTCGGTGTTTGCATTCGTTATTTAATAACATTGCAATACATTTGTGGGAAAACACCAAAACAAAAATAACAATGATTCATGTCTTTACTCTGGGTAAAGTTCATCTTAGTGCTAATTGTTCACAATTTACTTCAGTTCAGCTTCAATCCAACACCTTCAATCTCAGGCACTCTGTTTTTATAATGCTGAGAAACAAGTGCTGAGTCCAAAATACAGGACACGCTCAGCTTGAAGGAAAATTAGCAACAGAAATGTTCAGCACAGGAGGAACCATGTGCTGAACATTTCTGTTGCTAATTTTCTTTGAGTCTGTGGCACTGCTGCCTGTATTAATAAGCCTCTTGTCTTATATCCTGATACCACCTAACGTTTTATTGCTCAAATGTTTATCCAATTGGCTTTTTAATGATTCCAATCATCCAGTCTCAGCAGCCACTTGCAGCTAATATACAGTGTAACACACTGGATTCCCTTCAGTCTTTGTCCTGAGGTGAGGGGCCAGTAGATGAAGAACCTGAGCAGTAGTAAACCAATGTGTAAAGTGTATGAGCTGCTTTAGTCTGGGGGAGGGAGAAGATTGCAGTGTTTGATACTATTCGTGATATTAATAAATGCGGCAATTTTCACCCATAGGAGGATTAGCCCAAAACACTCACCTCACAGATACAGTTAAACAAGTCCCAATCAAAGCTGGTGAGTTCATTGGCCATGTGCCACGTGTTCATTCCAAGCATTCGGATGCTCCTGTGTGGTGCTTCATCATCTTCTGCTATAAAAGTCTGTACAGGAAAGTGAATATTGTATTAATTAGCGTCCGTACAGGCAAGGGAATTATTTTGGTCAGCCGGGTGACTGACACATACAGAAACCAATCACCACATTTAAGAGTATCCAAATTGAGAGTTTCATGCATCTCAACTACACATGGAAATTCCTGAGATATTTATAGGAATGGAATGTGCACTCTCTACCTGGAAGGATGCATTCTGCTTACCTAATTCCAGAGAGTATTTGGTACTGGATGGCAATAGCCCAGAGTGTCCATTGGGGGTACTGCTGGAGTCTAACCAGCTAAAACTACATAGCTTGCCATTGAAAGCACCGTCTGGCAAGCTTTCCTGCTGCTTGTCAAGTTAGGACCATCCTACCTGTTAGCGGTTTGGCTTGAGAGTTAATGGGAGCTGAGTGACAAGAGTCTCAGGCCCCAGTGACTGCTCTGCCCTTCCAGGTTCTATGATCAAGGCTGGCTGTGCTGTCATCAGCAGTGCCCTGGAATACTGTGCACCCGCGTGGCTCGGGAACTGAACTACCAAGACCAAGACCAAAATAGCAGGCTGGCTCCGTTCTGATATTCCATTGCCAAACATGTTATCTTGGAGTTAGCTCAATTCCAATGAGACCCCGCTTATCTTCCCCCACTCCCACCACCCCTCCCCCCTGGAAGAAAGTGAATATTGTATTAAAAACTGTCAGTGCAGATATTAAGTGTTTCAAAATTATGAAAAGTGTATTAAGATAAGCTGGAAGACAATATGTACGCTGATAGATGATTTAGAAACTAGATGGCATACACTGAGGATTATCATCCTCAGAAAGAGAAGAATATTAGAATTGTTATATTTCACAGAAGGTTGTTAGCAGGTGGAATACCTCACCACAAAGGTGAATGGATATAGAGTAGATAGCTTCCTTCTGTTGTGGGTGAAACTTATATGTTTCACAGGCAACATAGTATGCCAGTGAACAGAAATGGCTCAATTAAAGAAAAAAAAACAAGCAAAAAGGACATGAAAGAAGTCTTCGGAGACCGTACAGCTTGGTCAGGCATCAGTGCCTTTAGAAAAAGTGTAGAAGTGACTGAAAGATACTTCTAACATTCTGCCCCACATAAACAGATACATTGATATCAAGCACTTTAATCTACTGGTTGCTAACTCCAGGAGTGACTTTGTATCATTCTGATAATATGTGTTAATTTTAGTAAGTGGAATGAAACCAGAGGGTAAAGCTTATACTGTGATCTAACATTATGAAGCTCTAAAATATTCATGAAATTGCTACATATGGTCAGACACTGGAAGCTGAACAAGACAATCTTGGTGATGTTCAAAAGGTGACGTGACGTCAAACTGGTTTCAGCTCCAGGCAGCAGGAGAAGACAATGTCTAAACAGACCCAGCGCTTGCTAAGAGTCATAGGGATATTAAGATGGAAATGAAACTCTTAAACATATGATTATACCGAACATCTTGCAAAATCGAGGGCCAGCTGGGAGCTGACATTCTTCTTGCTTATCCTCAGTTTGTAAGACAGCTCATTATTCTCACTAGCCTGAGTCAGCAGAGCAGTCTCATTCACATCTGCTATTATATACAGTAAGTCAATAATACTGACCAGGCAGGGGAAATCAGAGCCAGAAATGTTGCATCGTCTTAGCCTTACGATTGTGCAGAATGTTGAATATTCTGATATCTAACTCTCAGTCTTAATTTGGAAGACAGTTTGATACAGTTGTTAAAAAAGAATCAGCTTCCAAAAGATGACCCAATTTTAGTTTTCCAAAATATTGAACAATCTCAAATGTTAAGGCGATGAACATTTGACAGAGACAGTGAGGTATTTGAGGCACGTGGAAGGTTGGTGCACAGTGAGAATCGAGTGCTTTCTTACCAGGAAATCGCTGGGATCTTTTCTGCAAACAAATATACGAGTAGTGGCATCAAGAGATTTGAAAATGGAGACATCATCGGGCTGAAGGATTTGTCTTTCTGAAAAAAACACAGGAAAAGCCTTAAATTAAACTGCTTTACTTTCTCAAGCAAAGACTTAATTGTCCGGCTACAGCATATATTCTTGTTTGACCCTCAATTGACTTTCCTATCCCACATCCATGCCATGATCCATTCCGTCTTCCCCACCTCCACAACATCACCCAGCTCCACCACTGTCTCACCCCTCAGGCCATCTAAACCGTCATCCTGCTTCCTGCTTGTCGGCCTTCCCAACTCTTCCCCCCACAAGCTATAGATCTTTCAGAACTCTGCAGCTCGTGTCCTCTCCTGCACCAGGCTCCATGACCTTATCTCCCCAGCCTCGACTGACTCCACGGGCTCCCCATCCCCCAGAGGATAGAGTTCAAAATCCTTGTGCTCGCTTTCAAGGCCCTCTTGCCCCTTCCTCCCTCTATGACCTGCTAACCCATGTCAACCTGTCCACTTCCTCCGTTCAGCAGGCCTACTCCACATCCCCCTTGCCCACTCCACCATCAGCGGTCTGGCCTTCAGCTTCTCTGCCCCCACCTTATGGAACTCCATCCCACATTCCCTTCACCTTGCTCCCTCCCTTGCCTCCTTGAAGTCATGTCTCAAAACACTGCTCTTCGATCATGCCTTTGGCAACCCTCCCACCCCTACACTCCCTGCCCTCCACCTCTCCTGATCTCAAACTCCACATGCGTGCAAATCCCTGACTGTCCAGCCCCTTGGGATGCCCACCCAACATGAAAGGCGCTATACAAATGTAATGTGTTGTCGTTGTGAGCTTGGCTCAGTAAGTGATCTCTGTAGAACAAGATCCACAAGCCTATTACCTCCATCCTTGTTGAGCTCCACTTGTTTAAATCGTAGAATGATCTCACTCCATTCTACCTGTCTAATTTTCTCCAACCCTGTATGCATAACAATAGCCTCTGCTCTCCTGACTCTATTCCATCACTCCCCACTTCTGTTGTTCCTCTATCAATGACTGAGCCTTCAGCTATAATTGAGCCCTATTCTGTGAAACTCTTTCAAAACCACTTTGCTGTCGGTCTTCAAGACCTTCCTAAATATATACCCCATTGACGATGGCTTTCACCACTGTGTCAGATGGGTTCAGGTCCCATGTCAACACTTGAGCTCATATTGACATGGCCTTTGACGATGCCAGTCACTAATGGGGTTTTCTATTATAATCAAAGGGGCTATGGATAATTCTCACTGGAAATGTTACTCATTGTGTACATGGGTCCTTTCTGTGTGTAAAATGGGTGCCACATTCGCCTGCAAACACAGATTGCTGCATGTGCAGATGACACACCATTGTCCTGTACTGATACCAATCAGATACAGAAGCAGAGCAGTCAGTTGGATGCTGGTTACTACAATTAGTAACCAGCTCCTTCCTCTTCCGCCACTCCCTTCACGAACCCCTCCAATCGGGTTTCCGTGCCACCCACAGCACAGAAACAGCCCTAGTCAAAGTGACAAATGACATTCTGTCCATCTGTGACCAGGGCTCCCTCTGCCTCCTTGATCTCTTTGCTGGCTTCAACACCGTCGACCACTCTATCCTCATCCACCGCCTCTCCTCTCACCTCAACCTTCATGGCTCTGTCCTTGACTGGTTCAGATTGTACCTCTCACACCGCCTCCACTTCATCTCCACAAATGGTTTCTCCTCTAGCACCTGGACCATCTCGTGCAGGGGTCATCAAGGCTCTGTCCTTGGTCCCCTCCTCTTCAATATCTACATGCTGCCTCTTGGTGGCATCATACGCAGTCATGGGGTCAACTTCCACATGTGTGCAGATGACACCCAACTGTCCCTCTCTGCCTCCACTTTTGACTCCAGGACCACTGCTGTCCTGACAGAATGTCTGTCAGACATCAAGTCCTGGATGAGAGCTAAATTTCTACAGTTGAACATCAACAAGACTGAGGCTCTCCTGATTGGCTTCCGTCAGCGCCTCCTCACCTCAGGCTCTGACAGCATCACCATCCATGGTTACACACCCCACCTTACTAAGCCGGTCCGGAACCTTGGGGTCTTGTTTGACCCTCAACTATCCTTTCTACCCCACTTCAGTGCCATGACCAGCTCTGCCTTCCCCCACCTCCGAAACATTGTCCGGCTCCGCCACTGTTTCACACCGCAAGCTGCCGAAACCCTCATTACACTGAGGCTTGACTATGCAAACTCCTTGCTTGTCGGCCTCCCCAACTCCTCCCTCCATAGGCTGCAGATCATCCAGAATACTGTTCTCCTCCTACCACTGAGACCTCCTAACCCCTTACCATCCTGCCCACTCCCTCCGCTCAGCAGTCTCCAGCCTGCTTCGCGTGCCGTGCTTCACCCACCCCACTTTTGGCGGGCGAGCCTTCTGCCACTCTGCCCCCACCCTCTGGAACTCCATCCCGCAGTGCCTCCGCCTTGCCCCCTCCCTTGCCACCTTCAAGACCAATCTCAAGACCCTCCTCTTCGACTGTGCTTTCAATCTCCCTGCTTCCCCCCCCCTGCCCTCCACCCTCCCCGATCCCAACCCCCAGCTCAGGTTCAAAACTCTGTTTGTCCAGCACCTTTGGACATCCTCCCGACGTGAAAGGCGCTTTACAAATGTAGTTTTGTTGTTGTTGTTGTTGTATTAGCAACCAGTTAAATTCGGACTGAATAGAAAAAAACACTCACCCTCGAGGACGTGATAGCCACCAGTATCAAATCCTGCTCGGGTTTCTGGAGCTTTTCAGCTACAGTGTGAAGGACCTCCTGTGCTGAGGTTGACTCCTTAGTCCAGAAGCTGACATAGGAATGATCTGCCACGTAAACACGGCAGAAAACTGCAGTGCAAATAAAGATTGACATTTCAAAATCATTCAGTTCACAATATTTCTGGAGCACACAAAGGCAAAACTAGAGTGGAATAATAAACTATCCAGAATATTCACTGAAAGTATATGTATGAAAAGTAAATAAATGTCATCAGACTATTAACACCATGAAGTGTGCTTTTTTACAATAAATCTACCATCTATAAAATAATACACACAAAAGGAATGAGAATGATTTTCATTACTGCAGGTTGTCTAGATCTGGGACAGGGAATATAGGCTTCTAGTGGCCACGAGAAGTCGCAAATGAAGGTAATAATCCGTACAATTGATACAGCATCTTATCACGTTGAAATATCTTAAAGTGCTTCACCGAGTTTTCTGTAAACTGGAGGGACCTTTTCAAGGTGGCAGCCAATTTTCACACAGCGTTGTCTCACGAAGAGGCAAATGTGAACAACTTTTTGTGGCGATTATTGGCCAGGACTCTTTTTGAATTGTGTCATGGGATCTTTAACATTCATTCGAACAGGCAGATTGGACACAATTTTAACATCCCTCTGACAGTGCAGCACTCCTCAAGCACACTATTTGAACGTTAGCTTAGACTATGACTTTAAAATTCCAATTTGGGGCTTGAACGCACAATCTTCTGACTCACCGAGACCAGAATGATAACAACTGAGCCAGGCTGAGATCTAGAACTCAAAATTAAACTTGTTGAGAATTGGCATATGTTATAAAACTACAATAGATCTCCAATAAGGAGGCTGAGAGCATTTCTTTTTGAAAACTAACCTTCGTCAGATTCACCTGGACAGCCTTTTGGATGAAGCCATTTCTCTCTGCAGCTGAGTTGGTGAAAAACTGTTGCGTTCTGTAAAAATAAATAAGTAAGTATAGAGTGCAGTAAAAGATGTACATCAAGCATAGTGGCATTCCGGTCCAGCTCCAAACTTGTAAAACATGTGCGGTCTTGATCCTACCATGGGCTTGCTTGGGACATCCTCCCAACAAGACGCTATACAAATATAATTTTGTATTGTGTTGTAATATATTGTAAATTGGTTACATCACATCTAGATCTGTCGAGATATAAAACTGGTGGAACAGACTCAATGGATTGAATGGCCCACTCCTGTTCCCGTTTTCCTGTTTCCTAAGAGTTTATTTTATTAACATTAAAATTGAATTGGATTCTTTTTCTAACTATTTATTAGAAAAATTCAAACAAGAAGCGCCTCTGTTTCTAAATGCTCCAGAGGTATTCACTTATGTAAGACGAACTTCACACATAGACTTCCTGCATAACTCAGAAAGTTGTCAAAGTATTTCAATGAAAAAAAGGGTCATTTCATATCGATTTCTGCATCGATTTGAGCTCTGCTTTTGACTTTCTTAAGTGATATCTATGAAGACATAGATTTTTGAGAAACTTGAAAGCACAAACAAGTACATGATTGAATAGGGTTTTCTGAATTCGAATGCAAGTAACAGTTCTGCACAGGGCTATCTCTTTGTGCTTCTAGAAGACATTCTCGCACTAACTGTAGTAACTTTGATGATGTGCACTACTACTGGCTAAATATACCTGGGCATCAGTTTTGCTAAACTTACACCAGTTTACATTGCATCTCTGGAGATTTTCAGAGAAGGGAGTTTCTCCCAGTGTCCTGGCCACCACTTTACACCTAAATGTGAACAGACATTCACTCCCGGGAGCGAAATTACGAGAAAAAGCCAACATTTGCTTTAGATTTGTCCATTTCACTTTAGATTTAGTAACATTTCACCGTCGAGTCAGCTCTCCTGTATGTGGACAATGGAAGCTCTGACTCAGAGTGGAATTCTGGGATATTCAGCGCCAGGGAAAAAACAGTCACTTTACATACAGCTTACACAGTTTACAATGCAGATTCTTACCTGATTCAAAGAAGTGGGAAGTATAAAAACAACTTATTGCTCTACTGATTGGAGCAAAACAGCTTTCCTCCCATTAATATAGAATCAAAGAAATGTACAGTTACAATCTCCATTGCTATTCAGTCATATAGCTCAGTGGTTAGCGCACTCGCTTCGCAAGCAAGAGACCTGGGTTTGATTCCCAACAGGGCTTAACTTTGGGCGAGTTTCCTTACTCCACACATCTCTGTTTACCTAGCTGTAAGTAGGAACCCGGTTGTTAGTCGATTGGTGGATCAGTTTTCCGGGGGTAATAATTCCTTCAAAAAAATAAATACATAATATAAATGTTTGTGGGGCACTGCTGTGCGAAATTGCTACCACGTTTCACCCACAAAATATACCGTTAAATCACTTTACAGTATGTTCTGTGAAGTGCTTTGAGATGTCTTGAAGACATGATAAGGTGCTATATCAAATGCAAGGATTATTATTATATATTATTCACAGGAAATTGATTGAAATGCAAATTGAAGTGTTACCTTTTTGTGGGGTGAATATTCATCAATGGTACTGAAAAAAAAGAAATCATTTCAGACTGTGTGCAATTCAGATGAAATGCCCATTTACTCTCATTCACATCTATCTCTTTAGTTGTTTGTTTAGTTATTATACCAAGAGGGAAGATATGTTACCCAGTCCCTCAGTCTGTTGGTGCTGCTCTGCTGAGAGGCGGAAGACCATGACCAATGTTTTTCTGCTTTCCTCTTCCCCTCATTGTCATTGCTTTGTTTTTATTGTGCAAAGTGTTGTGCAAACCCAATGTTTGATGTCAAGACAGTCCTAAATCAAGACACTGATACACTGAAATACTAGGTAAGAATTTGCAACCCATCTCTCAATGCTTTGGTGCAGAGATGTGCTCACTAGCCCCCATCCACCCCCCCCCCCACCCCCCACCCCACCATCCCTCAATACATACAGCAACAAATAGCCTTCATCAATATTATGACCAAATGTCAATATCTCTATGGGCTCATTCACAAGAAAATAGAACAATGGGATCAAAATGTGAAGTGTGATGTGCTAATTAAGTTAACTGAGGGGGAACATGAGGGAGAAAGGAATAGAGCAAAACTCATGTGGAGTATAAACACTAGTACAGACTGGTTGGGCCAAATAGCCAGTTTCTGTGGTATACAGTGTATGTAACTCTATGTAAATTACCATGGGTGAGAATTTTCACATTGTTTATAAATGTGCTCAACGAGCACAGTTGAGAACTAAGGGCTTGGTGTTCATCTACCTATGCAATTCCATCACAATGACTGAAGCCAGATTGCAGATTTCACATACAGTTAGTGGGAGCTTGGTTTAACTCAGATTTTATATGTTGAGCGAATATCTGGATAATTTGCACTCCAAAGCCACACTCCCGAGGCCAGAGGTCCAGTGAATGGCACAGGCTAGCTGTGGGACTATCCATAGTGACAGAGTTGGGGGGGTGTTCACCAGTTTTTAGGTATCAAGGTCTTTATTTTGCGACTGGCCTCATTGACTATATTTATTAAGAGTGTTGCAACTAACACATCACAGGTCACAAGGTTCACCCCAGTATGCTCAGTGTATTCCTTTGGAAGACAAACAATAATAAGATATATATGAAGAACTGGGTTTGGACTCTTTCTACCCTGAGGCATGTGTATACAGGGCTGAGCAAGCAATGTCCGGGCTGAGGAAAGTGCAGAGGCAGCTATCCATGTTGGGCAGATATATTGAAACTGAGCAGATTATAGGAACATTGGAACATGTGAACAGGAGGAGGCCATTCAGCCCTTCGAATCTGTCCCGCCATTTAATTAGATCATGGCTGATCTGTACCTCAACTAATCCTGTCAATTCAAATTTCCCACTTTTTCCTCAAATCCCTGATACCCTGACCTACCAAAAATCTATCAACTTCACTCTTGAAGGTGCGGATGAATCCAGCATCCACGGCCTTTTGGGTGAGAGAATTCTAGATTTCTACCACCCTTTGAGTAAAAAAATGCTTCTGATTTCACTCTCAAATGGCCTGGTTCTAATTTTAAGATTATTCCCCTTTGTTTTGGATTCCCCACCAGAGTAAATAGCTTCAATGTATCTACCCTATCGAATCCCTTTATCATCTTAAACACCTCAATCAAATCACCCCTCAACCTTCTAAACTCAAGGGAATACAATGTAAGTTTATGCAGCCTTCTCTCGAAACTTAACCCGAACCTGCACTGCACCCCCACCCCCAACGCCAATATATCTTTCCTGAGGTATAGTGCCCAAAATTGAATGCAATACTCCAGATGGAGTCTGACCAAAGGTCAATACATTTTGAATTCAACTTTCAGCATTAAAGCTGCATTCAAGAATCAAAGCTTCATTGCAGTTCTGAGGATGATGCGATGGAACCACTTTAATAATTAAACTCTGTTTTCTGTTAGGAATTACATTCGATTTCCAACTGAATGAGCATTACCCAGTTACATGTTGATGAACTGACTACACATTGCCTGTGTGCATTACACTATGAAAACAAGCATGCACATGAGATCTCTGCTTCTTCAGTCAATTTCAAGGTCAAGTTCTGGTTGTGAAATCTTGAAACAGACTGAATATTTTGTGTAGNAAAAAAGATTCCAAACCTGGGACTGAATGTTTTTAGATTGACTAAAATCAGCATGTTTCAAAGATTCAGTCAGGGCACAAGATCAGGTAAGGTAGGTTTCAATTTACAGTGTTGCTTATTCCTGAGGAACCAATGGGAACTCCACTTTGGTGCAGAGTGCCATGATGTACTTCTGGATACCAGAAGGAGTGACAATTGTTTGACTCAACGGATTCCTTATTAAGTCTTATTACAAAATTGGTAAGAAATATCATAAATTGAGTCTGTGTGCACACCTCAGGGATGTGAGAAAAATTGACTCAAATTAACCTCATTTGTTTTTTGTAGGCTAAACAATTAAATCCTACTTTAGCTCAGATTTTCACTATGAACAGGAGGCAATGCATTACAACATGACAGCCTTCCTGCTTACCTAAATGAAAGTGAATTGAATCTAATGATTAGCAAAATATATCTGAATTAGCATTCTTGTGTAACCTAAAATTTGTAATATTTTTAAGTGTCAGAAAAATGGATCAAATGTGGGGCAGAGGCAATAGGAGATGGAGAAATACCCAACTGAAGCAGAGTACAACAACAACAACAAGACTCCATTTATAGAGCGCCTTTCACGTCGGGAGGACATCCCAAGGCGCTGTACAGTTGGGTCAGGACCCGAGCAGGGGGGAAATGGTCAGGGGGAGGGAAGGGAGCGAGGAGGGGTTAGAGAGTCGAGAGGGGAGCTGAAGGCAGTCAAAGAGAAAGGTCTTGAGACCGGCCTTGAAGGAGGAAAGGGAGGAGGCGGCGAAGGCACTGGGGGATGGAGTTCCAGAGCCTCGGGGCTGAGAGGCTGAAGGCCCGGCCACCGATGGTAGGGCGGTTGGGGCGGGGGATGTGGAGCAGACCGGAGCCAGAGGAACGGAGGGTACGAGCAGGTAGGTAGGGGGATAGTAGGTCAGAGAGGTAGGAGGGAGCAAGGCCGTGAATGGCCTTGTAGGTGAGGATGAGGATCTTGAAATCGATCCTCTGGGGGATGGGGAGCCAGTGGAGGCGAGCGAGGGTGGGAGTGATGTGGTTGCGAAGCCTGGTGCGGGACAGTACACGAGCTGCAGAGTTCTGAATGACCTGCAGCTTGTGGAGGGAGGTGCCGGGAAGGCCGGCGAGGAGAGAGTTCCCATAGTCCAGCCTTGAGGTGATAAAGGCGTGGACCAGAGTTTCAGCAGCGTGAGGGGTGAGGTAGTGCCGTAGTCTGGCGATGTTCCGGAGGTGATGGAAGGCGGTGCCAGTTGTGGCGCGGATATGAAGGAAAAAGGACAGCTCAGGGTCGAACAGAACACCGAGGTTCCTGACTGGCTTTGAGAGGTGGAGAGTGCAGCCTTGGATGCTGATGCTGTCAGCGCCTGAGGTGCGGAGGCGCTGACGTGAGCCAATCAGGAGGGCCTCAGTTTTACGCACATTGAGCTGAAGAAAGTTATCTCTCGTCCAGGACTCGATGTCGGACAGGCAGCTGTCAGGACATCGGTGGTCGTGGAGTTGAGGGTAGAGGAGGAAAGGTAGAGTTGGGTGTCTGTCCGCATACATGTGGAAGTTAACCCCATGTCTGCGGATGATGTCACCAAGGGGGAGCATATAGAGGGTGAAGAGGAGGGGACCGAGGACAGAGCCCTGAGGGACACTGCACAAGACAGTGCGGGGACTGGAGGAAAAGCCATTCGTGTAAACAAAATGAAGACGGTGGGCGAGGTCCGCCCTACAATTAAGATTTCTGTACTTCTAGACTGTCTAGGTCTTTAAACACAAACAGTATTTCCCTATATTGGAGCCCATGATATAACTTTACTGATCAGTTTATCAAAGTCTGTAATAGTCAGTAAGCGGACGAGAAAGAGCAAATGTTAGCGTTTTCTTGGCAGCATTAGCCCTGAAGTTCCTGCTGGATCCTCCCTTTACAGCTAAGATGAATAATTGTGTAAGCAGCACATTGGGGTTGAAAATGTGGCATTTGCAAACTGGAAGATGCAGGGCTAATAGCCACTTCTGGTTTACAAATGAAATTCATAGATTCATAGAATCTTACAGCACAGAAGGAGACTATTCAGCCCATCGTGCCTGCGCCGGCTCTTTGAAAGAGCTACCAAATAGTCTTACTCCCCCGCTCTTACCTCATAGCCCTGAAAATGTTTCCTATTCAAGTACCTATCCAAATCCTGAATCCGCTTCCACCACCCTTTCAGCCAATGCATTTCAGATCGTAACAACTCTCCATTGTGGGATTCGTCTTGATATTTGATTGAGGAAAATAATTGAGTGGGAAGGGGGGAAATCCCTATCTTGAATGCCAGCAAACTTTGCTTTGCATAAAGCTGACAGAAATCACAAGCCTGATTCCTTCTTAAGATTTGTTCTTGAATTTCTCAGAGAATTCTGCTATTTCATTCGCAAATCTAAAGTTGCTGTTAGCGCAAGATGTTCATTTCACTAAACATTGTGTAATGAGTGTAACAGCAAATCTGACAGTAGTGAAAAGCAGAAGATATAAAAGCAGAAATTCATTAGTTTGTGTTTCGCCCACAAAATACACAGTGAATCCACTTTGTAGTATATTTTGAGATGTCTCAACAACATTATAAGATTCTATATCAAATGCAAAGATTATTATTATTATAGAAATCCTGCCAGTCAATGTCACTTCTGTAGTACTCACTGTCTGCGAGGGATCCGGAATAGGTTTTGAAGCTCCTTCAGCTCTTTCTCCAAACCAGGATACTCAAAAAGATCGTCAAGCACGCATTTATAAAGGTTCTGTTGCATATGGGATAAAAAAAATTCTAATGATTTTTGGAGGCGTTTCACATTGTAAAACAATGTCCTTTTTTTGCCTACAAAAGAGTCGTACCTTCAAAAGCAATTTAGTATTTTCATCTTCTCGCAATAAATTCTTGTAAAGAGATACCCATTGCGACACAATTCTCAGCACTTTGCGCTTTTGGTACAAGCCATTGTCTGTGTGCCCTGGCCTTTCTGCATAGGGCTTGGAACAATAGGTAACATTCGGTCAAGGAAAATTCCTGGACAATTAGAACTCACATCTCCAATGAAACACAAAGTGCGGCTGCTGACAGGCTGTTGGGAGAGAAATATAATCACTGCAGGATAGTACCATCAGCCATTCACAGGCGTAAAAGAAATTGATATTGTAGTCAATTTAAATTTAAATTGCCTTTTCCCTTTGCTGGAGAAGTTTGTGATTGTATGTGGCGATTGGTGCAGGGGAAAGGAATACCTGGTCACCTTTGTGCCAAGTAACCTGGAAGAAACAAAGAGCTATTCCAACACTGTGGTGAGAGTGCAGCAATGTAGCATGTCAGAGGGATATGGGGGTCAGGTGTGGTGCAGCCCAGTTTAATATAATTGCTGCAGTTCCTGTCCATTGCCGCATTTGTCAGCTTATACTCCTGAGAACACTCTACTGCAGCATTTCATTCTTCACACTATTAATATGTAGGTCTCTTCTTATCAAACTCCTTAATTAAACAGATCACTTGAGACAATTTTCTGCCATGTCTCTAAATCCAATCTCAGATCTTTCTGATTCTTAAAAGGGTATTGGTTCAAACACATTCAAACCCAAGCGCAATGTTTAAATGTTCCACTAAGTTGTTGGGTAGCATGTAGAGTGTAAGTAAATCTGCCACATATTAAAACTCCATTCCCACTTGACAGTTTTTTCCTTGTGGTTGCAAACTTCATCAAACAATATTCCTGGACAGAATGTCAGTATGAATATGTCTCAATGTTACAAGCATGCCACGCACACTGTGGGGGGGAGAAGGGGAGAAACTGCACAATGAATGGCAACAACGCCCTTTAAGCAACAACTACTTGAAACGATCATTCCTGCTTTCTCTAGCAGCGAGACTCCAGAGGTTAACGGTACTATCAAAGAGCCCAGCATTAGGCAACTGCACTCAAGCCAATTCCCTCCTAAATCAGCCAACTTGCATGATTTTATTCAAGTCACTGGACTGTCAGTCAGTTACATCAATCAAATTTTGGCATAAGATCAAACCACTCTCTTATCTCTCAGAGCAGGGCTCTGTTCCTGTAATGACCTTGGTTGAAAGAAGCACAGAAGATTTACTAACTCTATTGGCAGCTCACACACTTGCATTACAGCAGCATCCTACTCACCGTGAAGGGACACATTTACTGCCACTAACATTTGCTGACTCTTTTCGCCTTTACAGAGAACATTAACCTGGAAAATTTGGTTGTGGAATATTACTTAGAACAGTTCCACAACCTCACAGGTAGTCTGACAACAGCCCAAGAATGTTATATCTAATGGTAATAAAAGGTTGGTTGTGTGACTGTCTCTTTAACAACATTTAGAATACTTGTACCCTACCCCTGAGTTCTGCGCATGCGATAAACAGCACACACACACACACTTGGAGATCAAATCCAAATGTTGTTTCTTTGAATGAAGGTATAAATTAGGGTTCCTGATCCACAGTGTTCTGCTGCTGGCAGTGATATCACTTTGCTGCCAGCAGGATAAACACAGCATCAATCTTCAAACTCGACAGTATAGGGCTGAGATCAAAATGGAAGAGAAAACTTACTGGAGATTTTGTTCACGGATTGTGTCTTTTTCACTGCATCGAACAATGCCATGTTTTAGCACTTTGTTTATCTTTTATTTTCCCTTCTGTGCCTTCATAAAATCATAGAAATTCACAGCACAGAAGGTCATTTGGCCCATTGTGTCTCTGTCTGCTCTTTTAAGAGCAACCCTTTCAGTTTACCTGTTCCTTTCCCTATACCGTTGCAGTTGACTCCTGCTAGATATTTATATAGTTCCCTTTTGAAAGCTAATATAGATTTAATAATGTATTTAATTGTCATACCAAATCGGTTATGAAATGTCACATTTTTCTACAATTCCTAAAGTCTAGCTCTGGGACCAAGAAGCCCACAAACATTGGTTTTGTCTGAAATCCGATTTCAAACTATTTTGTCCACAACCTTCGATATTCGCAATCAGGCCCTGGTTCATGTTTCAACCCTGTAACCAGGGTCTGAGGGCTTCTTGACAGCACACCAATAGAGCTGGGTTAATATCTCATTTTTAGCTGGACTCAAATGGCAACTGTGAGCAGAGATCAGAGATCGGTGATCCAACCATTAAGCCAAGACCGGGGAAGAGGAATAGCCATTTCATCTCTATAATTTTTTGACGTTGACGTCTCTTTAAAGTGGAACATTTTACTGAATTGAATTTTAAGCAATCTCTTCTTATTTCAGTGATGCTCTACTCTACCCATCATCAGATCATTACTCTGCACACCAAGGGTTGTCATCAGCGCCTGAGCATTTTGAATGACTTTAGTCAACTGTACAAGATATCCTCTGTGATCTCTGTGGGTGGGAGTTGCTGAAGTACCACAGATTTTATTCTGACATGAAGCTCTCATGTCAAAAACTGATCTATTACAAATGTTCTTCAGCCCTTTATTTAGTGCGTTTGAGTAGTGATTTCATTTCATAATAGAAGTCTTCCTTTCAATAATTATTATCGAGCAAATGAACCTGCGAATTCGTGCAACTCTAAGCTTATACTTACAGGACAAAACAGCTTCAAGAATGTGATACTCATCTAAATATAATTTGCTTTTGAGTTGATGTGGAAACGTAATCTGTTTAAACACGGAAAGGATATTGCCTCAGTAATGCTTGGCTTAAGTCATTGGTTGACATGAAGACTGTGTAAGTGAGGAGAAAATCATCCAGCAAGATATCTGCAGAGACAAAACCATGTTAAACTGAAAATATCCCAACATTAAAGCTTTGAGAAGTATCTTAACTCAGTACAAGGAATAATTTACAGTTAATACTCTTTGCACTAAATCCTGTAGAGTAAATCCAGTAAAGTGAATAACATACCCACATCCGTTTACAATTGTTAGGTCAACCATCAGCTCAGTTTTATAATAAAGCTCATTAAATAGCAAATTAGCCAGTGTTACTTTTATTGCTGTATCTTAAAACCTATCAAAAGCTGTGTTTTACTCCAAAATCATCTTGTGTATCCATTTCCATCAGAATATATTTCAATTTCCTGTCTTATCAGTAACATATCTGTTAAACTCGCATTGACTCTGGCCATGATATTGTCCAGACACTCCAGTAGAAATTCACTATTGTTCTATTGGATGTGTGGCTATTCAGCAGAATATATCATACTGTATACACATTTTAACCATATTATTTTAACCACAAGGTCTTAATACCTTGACTAAATCTTTACAGTTGAACAAAGGATTGCACTGCACTGCTCTGTTTCGCGTCCCTACTAACCTATGACTGAATACAGATTTGTTACCTGTTTTGTAACAGATTCAAATACTCTACTGGATTGCTAAACCAGGGGTGTGAAGGGCAATATTAGGAGACATGGAGGGTAACGACCAATTGGAATCTGTTACCAGGAAGGTTCTGGACTCATTTAAGAAAAATGGGAAGTTTAGTATTCTGGAAGGAAGAGATCAAATGGGTCACAGAACTTTATTCATGTGTACCTTTCTTATGAAGTGTACTTTAGTATTAGTATCAATGTCACAAGTGTTGTGTTGATGTGAGAAGTGAGAGTGTCATTATTGTAACCATATAAGATACCAGTGAAGAATGGTCATAGGAAGTGAAGTGAAGCCACACTAAATGCTGCCAAAATCTTCATCCATACTTTTGTCACCTCTCGCCTTGATTTCTCAAAACACACTCCTTGCTGGTTCCTCATATCCACTATCCACAAAGTCCAGCTAATCCAGTGCTCCAATCCTCATATCCTTATCTGCACCAAACTCCACATGCACATCTCCCCAAATCAACTGCCTTCCTGTCTCTGAGCAGTTCAATTTTGATATCTCCTCCGTATCTCTCTGACCCTCTCATACCTCACTCCTCTGCCTGCCCCCTTCACTTAGCTAACACACAATGCACATCCCTGACTCCTCTGCCCCACCATCAGTGTCCATGTCTTCAGTCCATTACACCTTAATCTCTGGAACTCCCTGCCTCAACCCCATTGCCCCTAGTTTATCTATCTTCAAATCACACCTGAAAACCTACCTCTTTGACCATGCCTTCCCCTCCCCCTACTCCCTTGCCCAGGGTCCAATCCCACCACCATACAATGTTCCAAACTGTTAACCTCATAAAGTGCACAATAAAAATGCAAGTTGTTGTTGATGTGGATGCTATCTCAGGCTGCTCAAATTCCTTTGCTTACAAAATACATTTCATTATAGAACTCCTGCCGTTGTGGGACATGAGCGTGTTTTTGTTTCATTTATTTAGAAGAACTATTAATAGTTGAGCATCATTGGGGAACTAGATGATCAGCAAGAATGCACTCTCAGGGGCTCCAGCTGATGCTGCTTTGAGCTGTGACAATGACCTTCACAGCTGCCAAAATGCCTTGTTCCTAGTACAGTACCGAGATTAGAGTTGATGGAAGGTGCATACGTTATAGGACTGGAACTAACCTTCTATCTGTGTTTGAAACAATGGGTGTAGCACATATTAAAAGCCAATGGCAAGACAGGAAAATCGGGACCCATATAATTACCGTGGTAAATGAGAAGATTCAGGCTTTATTAGTTAATAATAAATAATAATCCTAACATTTGGTATTGTGTCTTTCACGTCAGGAGTACATTCCAAAGTTCTTCAAAAGATATACTGTCAAGTGGACTGACTGCATTTTATGGGCAAACTCACAGCTAACTTTGTGGGACACAACAGTGTCCCACAAACAACCATGAAGTGAATGACCAATTTTATTTGGAGGATTGTTAGTCAGGACACAGGGAGAAACTCCCTCCTCTTTCAGAATTGTGCTATAGGATCTGTAACATTCACCAGTATAGGCAGACAGGACTTTGTTTAACCTATCATCTGAAGGATGGTTAATGCTTTTTAAGAGATTCTCTAAAAGTCAGGTTTTGATTTTGGCAAGTGAAAGTGACAAACAGAAATAATTCTCAGATGCAACAACTGCAGCAATGGGAAAATAAATTCAGTGCGACAATGAGGTCTAACTTGTGATATTCCCAAGAGGTGATGGGAAGAGCTACAACAACAACAAGATTCCATTTATAGAGCGCCTTTCACGTCGCTAATCATGGTTTGCACAGGTATCACAGGGAAAAAGGCTGGATAGTGAAATGACCACTATAGGTCGGTGGGGATTTGCTTACCATTTTATTTTTACATTTTGGCGTATTTTACGAAATTGTTGACCCTAATCCCATTATAGGTCATCTGAAAAAGTCCAAAATAGCCTTCCCACAACATTTGCCAACTTCACATTTCATGATGTTATTTAAAATGCGGTAAAAACCTTTTATTAAAATGATGTGCACTGACTACGTAATAAAGTCCCTGTGGATACCCATATTAGACAAATCTTGTCTCATAGTTCTCCCTATAACTCAGTCAGGAATAGGGCCAGATATTCTTCCCATTCAGGGGCCCTCCAGGGAGAGAGTGTGCATTCCGTTCCAATGCACAGAAATTTCCACGTGGGATGTGTAGAATTCTCAGTTTGGTTTGGATACTCTTAATCATGATGATGGGTTTCCACATGTGCCAGACATCCAGCTGACCGTAAAAAGTCAGCTACATAAGAAAGATCTTGTTTAACTTTCTTCCTTTCCATGCAAAACATGTTTTTCAAGGTACCAAGTGGTGGATTGCCTGCTTGGATGGTGCTAAAAGCATCAACAACAACAACAACAACAAGATTCCATTTATAGAGCGCCTTTCACGTCGGGAGGACGTCCCAAGGCGCTGTACAGTTGGGTCAGGACCCGAGCAAGGGGGAAATGGTGAGGGGAGGGAAGGGAGGGAGAGGGGAGGGAAGGGAGGGAGCGAGGAGGGGGTAGAGAGTCAAGAGGGGAGCTGAAGGCACGGTCAAAGAGAAAGGTCTTGAGACCGGCCTTGAAGGAGGAAAGGGAGGAGGCGGCGAAGGCACTGGGGATAGAGTTCCAGAGCCTCGGGGCTGAGAGGCTGAAGGCCCGGCCACCGATGGTAGGGCGGTTGGGGCGGGGGATGTGGAGCAGACCGGAGCCAGAGGAACGGAGGGTACGGGCAGGTAAGTAGGGGGATAGTAGGTCGGAGAGATAGGAGGGAGCAAGGCCATGAATGGCCTTGTAGGTGAGGATGAGGATCTTGAAAACAATCCTCTGGGGATGGGGAGCCAGTGGAGGCGAGCGAGGGTGGGAGTGATGTGGTCCCAAAGCCTGGTGCGGGACAGTACAGAGCATTTTATAGTTTAGTGCAGTTCAATGTGAAAGTAGGATGAGCTCAAGAGGCGTTTTCAGTGTCTGAAGATTACTTTTAATAATAATAATAATAATAATAATCCTTGCATTTGATATAGCGCTTTTCACGTCGGGAGGACGTCCCAAAGCGCTTCACAGAACACACTGTAAAGTGAATTGACTGTATATTTGTGGGCGAACGCGGCAGCCAATTGCGCACAGCAATGTCCCACAAACAGTCGTAGATTGAAAATGACCAATTTAATTATTGTTTTTAGTTTTGGAGGGATTATTATTAGGCGTGTGGAGTAAGGAAACTTGCCCAAGGTTTCGCCCTGCCTGGAATTGAACTCAGGTCTCTCACTTGCAAAGCGAGTGCTCTAACCACTGAGCTACAGGACTCTTGTTGGCTTGTCTTAAAGAAACATAAGGTGAAATGGGATTCCGCCTCGCTATAAATGACCACAACCACTCTTCTGCTGCCAAATGTCATCATACACTGCTTTTGACAGTCTAAAGCAGACACACCCAAATAACATATCCATGGGGTAATCAATGTTTAGTATATTAGATACGTAAATATTGAGTTGAACAATTATTCCAAAACCAACACTGAAACCTGCAAGGTATTGAGGCCAATTGGCACATCCCAACTGAGAGGGTTCAGCTAACTCAACAACTCTACACTGAGGTGCATCCTTGGGACTTCCTGCTGTGTATGTTTTCTTCTTTTACATTGGTATGGGCACATTTTTGTGGCTTTTTTAAAAAATCCTGCATTGATTTATTTGCCAAATATTTATCTGAATCTTCCCCCCCCGCCCGAAATGTCTGATAGCATCTGTCACCCCTCTGGTTAGTACATTCAACATAATTCACCCCTCTCTGTGTAAAGTTGTCATAATTTTAGATGTCAGCCTGGCTCAGTTGAGTCAGGAATACACGCTCCATTTCACAGAAATATTCTGGAGCACTTTGACATGTTATAGGTGATGTATCAAATGCAACGATTATTATTATTAAAGACACTGCATTTTTTTTTGTTCATCTTCAGTAGAATTTTTTCCATAATTATACATTTGATTGGCCTAGAAGAATACTTCAGTTGCAATTTACCATAAACCAAATATCTAAAATATGTATTTGAAGAAATCATTGGACTAAAACTTTAACCCTTTCACCAAGGCTGACCTTTATTTAGGTTTTCGATCAACAATCCTGGCCAATAATTCCCCATGATAAAATTTGACCATTTGCTTCATGGCTGTTTGTGGGATATTGCTGTGCCCAAAATGGGCTGCCGTGGTCACCTACAATTACACAGTCACAACACTTTACAACGAATCCTGTGAAGTGCTTTGAGAAGTCCACCCAATGTGAAAAGGGGCTAAATTAATTGCAAGGCTTATATAGTATTAAATACACACCGACTGTGCCTGAGCACAGTGCAGGTGAATCAGGATAACTCAGTCCTA